CACTTCCTCATGTGTTGGTTGCAATGTGAATGGCTTTCTGATTCTGTTCATGCCGTGAAGGTTCTGTTCAGAGAACATTTATTAGGTTGAAGTAATTGTATTAATGGGAACTGTTTGAGTCTTCCTTCTCTGTTTTCTGCCTTACACAGGGTCCAGCTCTCAGGGACTTTACTTAAATGAGCCTCTCCTTGTCCTCATTAGTCATTGTTGTGGGTGACAACATATGGTCCTCATGTGTCACAGATCAGTACTGCCCCAAGGGGATTTCTTGGCTGTCATCTGTACAGAAACTGCCAAGTCTTTTCTTCTGCAGCAGAGCTAGAGGTTTTGAACCACTAACCTTTGTTTAGCAGCTGGTTACAAATTACTTGCAACACACAGGTTTTTAAATGAATATATAGATACATTTAAACCTCATGTACTTATCGGTTTTTACTATATGCTTAATATTATCATCAAACTGTATCAAAATTAAATAGAGGCATTCCAACGTTCTTGTTAAACTTTCTGTGCAGTGTGTCTCAGGCAACTTCAGTTATTCTCTGTTGTTTCAAAAGTTTCTGTAAGCAGTATAACTTCAATGTATTAATGTAATCTTCATAAATTCCATTCTTAAGACTTTGAACTGTGTCATCAAATCATAAAGCTAATCTTATGACAATTTTTAATAAATCCAGCAGATCATGATTCACCTATGATTCTGAGCTTTACTTTGAAGCTGACTGTTGTTTGTGGGATCCTATTACTGAATATCTACAACATGCAAGATAGTTTAAAAAAATTTATCACGGTCTTGTAATGAAGCTTATTTAATCAGAGCATATGGAACAGTCTTTGAAAGGAAGCATCAAAACAACCATGTAGTTCAGACTCCGTAAGACTCACTTATCTGAGCAAATCTCCTGTTAGTCTTTCAAGATCACTTTTGAATTACCATTAACGGCACACCATATCGCAAAACTTTTACAAGAAACATATGCATCTTTCATTTATCTTTAAAGACTCATAATTTTTATGCATCGTAAACATAATGCAAACTTTTGAGTCCACATAAAACCTAATTTCTAAGCTTATACTCAAGCTAAAATTGTGGAATCTCTCATTTCATTCTATGTCAACATTATTTTCTAACTCTCCACTATTGAAATGCTTGTCAGTGGAGGATTCTATTGACCACAATGCATTTTGGGTGGTTCTAATTCTTTATATTCTCTCATGGAGGCACTTCATTTTTTTTAATTCGGTTGTATTTGTTTAGATCTTTCCTTACAATGGCTATAATTGTTGATTTAGCTAACTTAAGTGTTTTTAAGTTATAGATTCTTTTGTGCATTTCAGTTTTTCAATAACATTAAATGGCATGTAGCCTACCTTTATTGCTGTTAAATAACTGCATGTACATTTTATAGTTCTATATAAACACAGGAAAGAACACCAGTGGTGGATTTTTAAAATCTAGAGCCCTATTGGCATAGTGGTTTGTGAGTTGGCTGCTAACCAGGAGGTCAAAAGTTCGAACCCACCAGCTACTCTGTGAGAGGATGACGAGACTTTCTACTCCTGTAAAGATTTATAACTTCAGAAATCCAAAGGAGCAGTTTTGCCCTGTCCTATATAGGGTCATGATGAGTCAAAATTGCTAAAAGCATAAATCAATACTATTAAAAAAAATTAATAGATCAT